AAATAATACTCGTGTGTGTGTGTGTGTGTGTGTGTGTGTGTGTGTGTGTGTGTGTGTGTGTAGACATGAGGGTCAGAATGTGGGGCACATGTGTCTAGAGCTGGTCAACATTTTTTGTTCAGAAAGTTTTCAGGCTGAAAAATGCAGTTTAATCAAAACCAAAATTTGTCATGGGAACATATTAGGGCTGTCAATTAATCACAATTAATTAAAAAAAAATTGTGATTTAAAAAATTAATCGTGATTAATCGCAGTTTTAATCACACTGTTAAACAATAGAATACCAATTGAAATTTATTAAATATTTTGATATTTTTCTACATTTTCAGATAGATTGTATTCTGTGTTGTAATTGAAATCAAAGTGTATATTATTTTTGATTACAAATATTTGCACTGTATGAATGATAAAAGAAATAGTATTTTTCAATTCACCTCATACAAGTACTGTAGTGCAATCTCTTTTTCATGGAAGTGCAACTTACAAATGTAGAATTCTTTTTGTTACATACCTGCACTCAAAACCAAAACAATGTAAAACTTCAGAGCCTAAAGTCCACTCAGTCCTACATTTTGTTCAGCCAATCGCTAAGACAGACAAGTTTGTTTACATTTACAGGAGATAATGCTGCCCTCTTCTTATTTACAATGTCACCAGAAAGTGAGAACAGGCATTTGCATGGCATTTTGTAGCTGGCTTTGCAAGGTATTTACGTGCCAGATATGCTAACATTCGTATGCCCCTTCGTGCTTTGGTCACCATTCCAGAGGACATGCTTCCATGCTGATGACGCTCGTTACAAAAATAATGCGTTAATTAAATTTGTGACTGTACTCCTTGGGGGAGAATTATATGTCTCCTACTCTATTTTACCCAGATTCTGCCATTTATTTCATGTTACAGTAGTCTTGCATGATGACCCAGCACATGTTCATTTTAAGAACACTTTCACTGCAGATTTCACAAAACGCAATGCTGAGATTTCTAAAGTTAGCTACAGCATTCGACCCAAGTTTTAAGAATCTGAAGTGCCGTCCAAAATCTGAGAGAAATGAGGTGTGAAGGAGTCTTGCAGAAGTCTTAAAAGAGCAACACTCCGATGCGGAAACTACAGTACCTGAACCACCAGAAAAGAAAATCAACCTTCTGCTGGTGGCATCTGACTCAGGTAATGAAAATGACCATGCGTCGGTACACTCTGCTTTGGATTGTTATCGACCAGAACCCGTCATCAGCATGGAGGCATGTCTCCTGGAATAGCGGTTGAAGCATGAAGGGACATATGAATATTTAGCGCATCTGGCACGTAAATATCTTGCGATGCTGGCTACAACGGTGCCCTGAGAATGCCTGTTCTCAGTGTCAGGTGACGTTGTAAACAAGAAACGGGTAGCATTATCTCCTGCAAATGTAAACAAACTTGTTTGTCTGACCGATTGACTGAAGAAGTAGTAGGACTGAGTGGACTTGCAGGCTCTAAAATTTTATATTGTTTTGTTTTTGAATGCAGGTTTGTTTTCTACATAATTCTACATTTGTAAGTTCAACTTTCATGTTAAAGAGATTGTACTACAATACTTGTATTAGGTGAATTGCAAAACACTATTTCTTTTGGGTTTTTTTACAGTGCAAATACTTGTAATCAAAATAAATATAAAGTGAACAGTGTACACTTTGTATTCTGTGTTGTAATTGAAATCAATCTATTTGAAAATGTAGTTAACATCAAAAAATACTTTAATAAATGGTATTCTGTTATTGTTTAACAGTGTGATTAATCACTACCGGATGGCATCTCCACCTTCTCCTCTTTGGCCATTTTGTAAATCTTAACCCTCATTTCCTTTGATTTTATTTTTAAAATGGCCTGGATTAATCACGATGAAAAAATTAATTTCTGTGGCAAAGGCCATGACATGTTTTCTTTCATTTCAGTCAAAAACATTTTTTTTCAACATTTCTGATTTTCAGATTTTTTCAGAATATTTTTGTTCTACAACATGTTGATATTTCAGCTCTCTGTTCTGATCCAGAACAGAAACTAAATTTGAAATGTTGAAATTTCCCATGGGATGAAAATCCTGTTTTCCCAAAGTTTTCCTCCTATCTGTGTAATCTCCTTTATAAAGTCCATCCCCACCTTGGTGTTCCTCTGCATTTATTCCTGGCTTCTTTTATTTTAGTGAGCGAGCCACGGAGCAGGAAAAAAAAATTAATCCCTTTTCCTGGCCTGGAAATTGCAAAAAAACAAAGTGTTTATTTGAAAGGCAGTCTAAAAAATATTAGAGGACAGGACTAAATGAAAACTCCTAATATTGTGTGACTAGCAGAGAATTTCCCAGCTCTGAATATATCAAACTGAATCTTCAGTAGCTTAGTACATGTACTGTAAATAGATTTTAGTTTCTTTCTGCACCTAGAGACATGGTTCTGAATCCTGATTTACTTTTTTTTTTTTTTGGTTGATTTTAAATTTGCAGGTTAAGAATCTTGTATGTGAACGTTATAGCGTATGTGTGGAATAGTGTCATTGCAGAGAACACATCATGCTAGGGAGAAACAAAGCACTAATGTGAAGTTTGCATGGCTGTGAAAAGACTTGGAATGTCAGGCTATGCCTATCTTTTAATGGGTTTCATCATTGCCAGAAAAAGAGAGGACCTAGTATTGGTTTTAAAAGGAAATTGATGTAGAGCTAGAATACATCATTGTATGTATTGTGCAAACATGGCAGACAGAATCCTAAAATCTAGTGGCCATAATGACACAACTCTAATTAAGATTAGCTACCGTGTGATGTACAGTATATTCAATTAGGTTAGAAAAGCTAATTTGCCATCCTCTCTAGCTGTGCTTCTGTCCGTCTTCTTCCCTTTCTCCCCTGGTAGACTGCTCCAAGAGGTTACCTTCGTGCGGGACCCATTAAAATCCAGGCTAAGTAGACAATATTGCAGCCCTAGATTTATGGATTATGCTGCAGAGTTCGTATTAGGGATTAATCTATTTGTAGTTTTCCTCTGTGCTGTGTATATAATTTGTGCATTTCTAAGTAGTCTGCAATAATCAAACCAAACCAGCATGATCGTTGTGCCAGCTTCTCTGTCCGTGCTGATTAACGGCTGTTTTTCTACACCCTCACCTGGAGCTATTACTTTGCTTTCTTCTGACAATACGATACTATTGGTGAATTTTCTCATGAGAAAATTCTTCTGCATGATCTGAAGTAAAGCTGCTCTGAAATGTCTACATATTAAAATCCGATGACAGCTACTAGTTGGGGGCGGGACGTATGGCTCAGTGGTTTGAGCATTGGCCTGCTAAACCCAGGGTTGTCAGGTCAGTCCTTGAGGGGGCCATTTAGGGATCTGGGGCAAAAATCTGGGGATTGGGCCTGCTTTGAGCAGGGGGTTGGACTAGATGACCTCCTGAGGTCCCTTCCAACCCTGATATTCCATGATTCTATGATAATAAGCTGAGGCCAGTTACCTGGCAATTCAGTGTTGATTTTGTGTGGTACTACTGTCCTAGTGGAAACCATGCTATCAAAAGGCTCACATATATACCGGTAAGCAAGATTTAAAAAATAAAATAAAATCATACAAAATGACCTAGCTTTCCTAAAGAAGCATCCCATAGTGTGCTCTTTGGTCCAGATGTGTAAGCCACTTGTTTGCGTGTGTGAAGAGGGAAGAGAAGAGACACTTCAGCAAGAATGTAAACATCTCTAGTTTTATAGCTGTTACAACCCAAAACTGGTCCATGGTTTGTCTTGTGTCTTGTGCACAGCTATGATATATCACAAGTCCACTGTAATAACTTTCAACCTACCTTCCTGTCTATTTTGATTAATCCTTGTTTGCTTTGTAATGTCCTCTGTTTATCATCTTATTAAATAGTGAGTTTTTTTAACTCTACTCTCCTGAGAATGTGCAAGGTTATAACCACAAAACACAAAATAGCACCTTTTTTTTTATTACCAGCTTTGTCTGAGCTAGTTCATAGTAAGTGCCATCCTACCTAGAACCTTGCAAGCAAAACATACAATTTGAAACAAACAGAATATGTGGATGCAGCAATAACATGGCATGGTTAAAATCACACACTGCATTATCAAAATATATGCAGTTAATTTGGTGATTCTGTTTCAGAGAAAAGAAAGCTGCCATCAAATTGCACCCTTCTTCAATGTACAGTAAGTTTTGCAGTGGTGCTTCTATGGAGTGCTCACTCTTAGAGC